AGTAGTACTCTGGATTGCTTCTGTGGAGGGTGGGGTGCCTTGGTGTGGTTTGATGATGTCTATTTATAGGGATGTTTATGGCATATTAAATTCCAAGTTGAGGTACCATTTCCATTTTAAATCTCACACTTGATTGTACTACTGCCAGGTTGTCGATTCCCATTCGTTGGATTGGTACCGCTTGTTATATACGATATTAGTGATTCCTAATCTCGAGATAGGTTGTCTAAATTACGTTACATGTGTCTTTTAGTACGAGGGTCGGTGCTATCTTGGGAGAGGTTGCTAGTCTTATGAATACTGCTTAGATTTTCTTGAATGAAATTATGAAATTGTCACGTAGTAGGAGAACATATATAACTCACAACCAAGGTTTTTAAAACTGGACCGGACCGGTCGGTTGAATCGGTCAAATCGGTACCGGTAATGAAAACGGCTTGGTTCACATAAAAAAATCATTTGAGGTCAAAACCAATCAAAACCGTTTAAAATCGGTCAAAATCGTTCAAAACCAGTCAAAACTGATGAAACCGATAGAACCAATAGAACCAAAAAAACCACCGATTGAATTTCTTATGCAATTTTCTTTTTGGTTTTTTCAATTTCACCCTCACCATTCCTTTCTTATACCGATTTTAACCCTTAATTTTAATGAAATTACAAAATTACCTATTTCCCTTATCAAATTTTCTTTGTTATTTGAACCGACCGGTTCACCAATTGAACCGGTTGAACCGGTCAAACCAAAAACTGGACCTGAAAATGGTTCAATGACCGGTCCGGTTTTTAAAACCTTGCTCACAACAATATCCGTTACGTCCAGCAACCAGAGAAGGTCCAACTGCAATTAATTTGTGTAAGGCTTAACCATGACTATCACCAAATTTAGAAAATATAAATATAAATAAATAGGACAATGATTAGCACACCTACTGGTTCAACACCTAATTCAACACATTTCAGTTTAGTCATTAAAAAATCACTATATTTTAGTCTAAAATTAAAAACAGATAGGTATAATGATACAATCATACACACAGGATACAAGAACTGACTAAATTGACTATATTTATGTTATATTTTTAATTATTAAACCAGAAGATGTTGAACTGGTAAGTATACCAATCATTTCTCAAATAAATAATAATAATAATAAAGAAAATTATTGATATACTTTTCGATTCAATACATTTAATAACACTCTCCAGTTCAGTAATTGAAATTTGTATTTGAAAATTTTTTTATTTTAAATTTAAACTTGAAAATATTAATTTTTTAATAAATGAACTAAAATGTATTATCCAACGCATTTAATTGAAAGATATACCTATTATTGTCTTAATAATAATAAAAAAGGAATTGCCGGGTTCAGAGGGCATCTTCAACCCATCATCGACCCATTTAGGTACAGCAATGATGTTATCCTTAATACATTGAGCTAGTATATATTCTGATCTCGTTCGCTCTATCTTGCTTTTTTTTCATGCCTTTAACAACCACCTATATCTCCTTAACAGTTAGAGAATATAAATAAAGGTTAAATTTTTTGGGAGTTTTATTTTTATATAAATTAATCATAAAAAATATATTTATTACATTTTTAAAATACAAATTAGACAAACACTTATTTTTTTAACCTATGACTAAGTACATTAGTACTCCAAATATTACTCCCATTTTCGCAAAAAAAGGACAGTCAGCTGGGACATAGGCATGATATTGGATGAATTTCAGTTCAGGTGGCTATTAAAATCTGCCAGTTTTTTTTTTTTTTGAAAAGCAAAGAAATTATATTATATGAGTACAAGGGGTACTCAAACCCTTAAACATCAGTGTGTAAAGCTATAGGTAGAATTGTGGACTAAATACAAAAAGCCAAAAATACTCCATAATAAGACACTTGGACTCCAGTTCCCCTTGTAGCTTCTATTTCCTATTAGTCAGGCATCTCACTGGATTAGAAATCCATTCCAAGAAAGAAAAGTCTAGGTTCAATAGAGTTCTAACCCAGTGAAATGAACGGCTTTGTACAAGTTTAAACAGCTTGTCCTCATTAATCTTCTTGTGCTGAAAAGCAGTTTCATTTCTATTCAACCACAATGACCACACTATGGTAAACCATAACATGTTCCAACCCTTTTTTAAAGTCCTTGAACCCTTGTGCCATCTGTGCTGGTTGAAAACATCAAGACAAGTATTCCCAAGTACGTAATCTAATCCCCACCAGTTGAGACATTTTGTCCATAATTTGAAAGAGATGTTGCAAGACACAAAAAGGTGATCTATATGTTCAGGGGATTGATCACACCAAAGACACTTTATATTTTCGTTTCCATCTAAAATCCCACGCATTGCCAAGTTAACCTTTGTAGGGATTCTATCTAATAGCAATTGCTATGAAAAAGCACTTACTTTTGATGGAACTTGTGCACTCCACAGTTTTCTGTACTCCATTAGCTTGTTATCCTCTTTCTTTACAAGTTGCTCGTAGGCAGATCTTGTGGTATATTTTCCCTCACCATGTAGCCTCCAACTCCAATTGTCCTTCTTGTCCTGCGTTGGCTTTATGTGTTGTATAGCCTCGGTTAGTTGGTTCAATTTGTCCTCTTCCCAGGCTCGAAGTATTCTTCTCCATTGGAACCTCCAAACCCAGCACCCATCTGTCCAATGTCCCATATCGTAGATGCTGCAATTTTTTTCTGTAGCCAACAAGAAAAGTCTGGGGAAAATATTAGCTAATGTGTCCCCCCCTGCCCATGCATCATTCCAAAACCTAACACTTTTCCCATCACCCAAATTCAACTTAAAATTTGAAAACAGCCACTCGTCCTTACCATCTAAGCCTCTATTCAATTTACAAACATCATTCCACCAAGATGATCCTAAACCCCGACTCTCTCTCAACCATGACAACCAATTTCCTTCCTTGCCACCATACTTTTCTAGAAGTACCCTAGACCATAAACCCTTCTCTCCCTCTACTACTAGCCTCGACCACCATTTGCCAAGCAATGCCATATTAAACCATCTCAAATTTTTTACCCCCAAGCCTCCCTCTTTTTTACTATAGCATACCCTATCCCAAGACACCCATGCAATCTTTCTACCTTCCTTAGCCCCTCCCCACAAGAAATTCCTTCTAATTTTGTCAAGTTCATAGATTACCTGTTTAGGGAGAAGATAGAATGACATCAGGAACACTGGTAGACTGGATAGCATAGAGTTTATGAGGGTGATTCTTCCACCAAGAGACAAGAATCTTCCTTTCCAGGCTGAGAGTTTTCTCCTAAATGTCTCGATTAGAGGTTTCCATGTGACTAGTCTCCTTGGGTTTGCACCCAGTGGCACCCCCAAGTATTTGCAGGGGAGGACATCAGTTTTACAGCTTAGCAACCATGCCATTTTTTCAATCCATTCATCATCAGTGTTGATTCCAATTAAAGAGCTCTTTCTATAATTTACCTTCAGGCCTGACACCAATTCAAAAGCTCTCATAATACATTTGACTGTCCAGATGTTGTTTTCAGTTGCCTCACCCATAAATAGTGTGTCATCTGCAAACTGTAGATGGCTAATTTCAAGCTCCCCTTCTCCTATTTTTGCTCCACAAAAAAAGCCCTTTGAGACTGCTACTGATATACTATAGCTGTGACACGGACCCCCATGCCCATGGGTGAATCGACCGCCCATTAACCTTTTCCAGCTTTTAGCTACATGAATTAAACTGAAACCAGGGGCGAGGGAACCTGGCATTTCTATTTGGGGACTGGAGATTGGGACAAAATAATTATCATGCTCTTCATAGCATTAATACTAAAAATACTAATTGTAATAAAAATCAATACGTTTATACCCAAAAGTAAAAATCAATACCAATTAACCTTTTCTAATTGATACATGCATACTGATTAAAAATTCAATACAAATCATAAACTGAAAACAATAATGATAATAAATTTATTGTAAAGTTTAAATAGACAACCTACTAGACATGATTTTTTTTTTTAATTTATAGTTAGAATGTTTTTAAGTCAGTTTTTACATATCTTAAAATTAATTTTCCTTCAGACAATTTTAAAGATGCATCCCCACATCAGTCTAGTATATTCTAAAAAATTAATTCTTTTAAATGATAATTCTAAAATTTGAACCCTAAATTTGAATTATAAAACACCACTTTATCTATGGACCAACCTTTGGGTTACCTACCAGACATAATTGAAATCTTAGGATTTATGTATATACTAATCGAATCTAATGAAAAGAATTAATTGAGATTCATATATATGGCCCAAAAAAAATTTGAGATTCATAATATAACTCTTATCACAGCTAAGTTGACATTTTTTTCTTTTTGTTTTTTTTATTATTATTTTTAATTTTGAGTTATACAGTAAAAGATGACACTCTCTCATCTCTTAACTCGCCTCACCTATATAGCGTATCAGTCGAACTCAAAATTTTTTACTTTTAGTGAAAAGAAATTACTGCTGACTTATTTAGTTTATTGATTTTTCTTTCTAATTTTAAATTACACAATGAGAAGTAACTATTTTTCATTCCTATTCCTACATCAATGTTATGCAACCTGAAAAGACTTTATTGTAGCATTTGTACTTCATGTGCTCTCTCCTTTATCTCTTCTTGTTTGAAAAGATTTTATTGTAGAAAATGCTGATGTAAATACATCCTTCTCTGACTGTTCTTTGTAAGTCCTCCTGGGAGGATGGAATTTTGTAAGGTTTTGAAATATTGCAAAAGCTGAAGATCTATTAGAGAACTGAACTACATCTTTGCATTAAGATAGGTTCTCTTATGTGACTTTGTTTTCTAGCTTAAGGTACTCTTATCTTATCATTTTCGAACTTCCTCAGGTTTCTTCTTCCGGCGTCACTTATTGTCATTAATGACATTATTGCTTATATCTTTGGTTTCTTCTTTGGAAGAACCCCGCTTATCAAATTATCCCCAAAGAAAACTTGGGAGTGTTTCATTGAGCATCTGTCACAACAATCATCTCTGCGTTTGTGTTGAGGAAAATTTTCTTCAATTTTGAAGGTGAGGGTTTCAATTTTGTGGCGAGAAACATTGACCGGTTGGAAGCAGAGTGCCCAGCAGAGAGCCCAGAAGAGCACCGAGCACACCACCTACACAACCATCACAAGGCAGCGACAAGGCAGCCTGGACATCGATCAACGCATGTATATGCATGCGCTTGGTGATCGTTTGAGGTTGCAACCAAAACCACCATTGCAAGAACAAGAAGATACCTTGAGAAAGCCAGCAAATGGATGGAAGGATGTTTCAGATTATTTTTCTACAGTAGCAATATTTGGTAGTACGTACTGTGGATTGCTTCTGTGGAAGGTGAGGTGCCTTGGTGTGATTTGATGATGTCTATTTAGAGGGATGTTTGTGGCATATTAAATCTCCAACTTGAGCTACTATTTCCATTTCAAATCTCACACTTGATGTACTATCGTCGTGTTGTGGATTCCCATTGGCTAGATTATTCCCACTTGCTATGATATTAGTTATTCCTCGTAGATACACAGCTTTGTTAATCTCGAGGTCAGTTGTCCTGATTAAGTTCCATGTGTCTTCTTTTAGTAAGAGGTCGGTTCTAACATGGGAAGTTGGCATGCGTACCTTGTTGGCGACATGTAAATCCATTTCTAGCTATTTGATTCCATAAAACATGCAATAACCGTTATTGTAAAGGGCGGCAGTTAAACTCGAATTTGTGACTCAATACTCTATCTATATCTTACTCAATACTTCCTCCGTTCATTTTTAGAAAATTTATTTTGATTTTTTAATTTTTTAAATATTAATTTAAAATAAAAAGTTGATAATTTATATAAACAATAATTGAAATTTTTTTTATCTATATAATGTTCTTATCAAGTATTTTTATTTAATCAAAAAAATTTTAATTATCATTCATATATTATGTTAAATTTTTGTTTAAAATTTATGTCTAAAAAATCAAAAATCAAATTAAATTTACTAAAAATAAATAAAAGTAATACACAACAAAAAATAATATATTTTTCTTACATATTTCAAGATTTAAACTTAGTACTGTTGAGTTATGTGAAAAGTGCTTACGGATTAGTGGGCACTTTAAATTACAAAATCGTGAAGATTGGACACACATGACCAAGTTCACCAAGGACATGTCTAAATTAAAGGACTACGTGATTAAACTTTGGAAAGACATGACCTATTTGAATGCTCATGATGATGGGACGAAAGGGTGTATCGTCTGAGAATAAATAAATAGATATGTTTTGCCAAGGAATTCCTTTGAAAAAGAAGAAATAAGTTTGAGTCACATAATATGCAAGTATAGTAAGTTAAGGTATAAACGATTGTTGATTTTTACTGTATAGCTCAAAAAAAGAAAAAAGAAAAAAAGAGAGAGATATGTTTAAAGTTTGTTTTTTGAAATTTGATCATGGTTGAAAAGGCATAAGATGCAACTGATGAATTGGTGTGTCTATTTGAATGCATTTATTGAGGGTGTCCATTAATTAGTTCCATATAAAAAGGTAAGAAAATTGTGACTTTTAATCTATAACTAGTCAAGGAAAAATGGAAAATCAAAATGTCTTGTCATTAAAAATATTAAAATATTTAACAATAGTCATATGATAAATTTAATAAAATTAAAACTTATATGATACTTTAAATATTTAAAAGTTGTGATTAAATGTCTTAACATTTTTAATATCATGATGTCATTTTTTCTTTTTTCAACTAGTCAATTCCCACAATTACGATTCGAGAGAAGAGTTTGTTATAGTTCATGTTGTATCATGTGGCTTTTTGAACTCCTGAGAAAGGTGATCATACATCATAACTCATTTCTTTTCATTTTCCTTTTTATTTTGATACTATTTTTTTAATATGGGTTTATCTATTATGTGCCCTAAGGATAAAAAATAATTATTAATTAATAATTATCATTTTTTTCTTAAAAGATATGAGATTTTAATTTCAAAATGAATGAATAAAAAATTAACACATGACATTTGTAATTAAAATAAAAGTTAACTTTACTATTTTTAAGATAAAAAATATAATAATTACAAAATTATAATTTCTTATCCTCTGTTCGTAAGGCATAGGATAAATAAATCTTTTTAATATATACAACCGTGACAATTAATTAAATAATTAATACAACGTGCGAACCATTTAATCAAATAGAGGCCAGAGACTCCAAAGCTATTACCGCTTGAGATGGAAATTAAAGCAGGGCGACAAGCGGCCTGATTCCAGATCAATTTCGGTGCTAATATTGCATGCACACATAACACGAATTTTTTTTTTGCACAGCAAAGATAATTTATTGATGATATTGTGGATGTACAAGTAGTACTCCACCTAACTCTTTACACGAGCAGAGAAGAGATAGCCTGCATTGTTACTCCTATCTTTCAAACTATTCTACACCCATGCTTACTCTTAAGCATCCGTAAGACAAGCTATAGGATTGCACAACCAATCTGAAAGATAAAAGTGACAACTAGCTAATCTAGATTTAATCCAAAAAAAAGATCTTAATTGTATTAATTCCAAGAGCTTACCCATGTTTGTTTCCTGGCCTTGAAATACCTTTCTATTCCGCATAAGCCATATTGACCAGATCACTGCACTCCAAATGCAATCCCATCCATTTTTGAGTCGGTTATCATTGGTCCATGTATGAAGGTGTTCGAAAGCTTTCCAACAATCCGACTCCAACCTTATAGAAATCCCCCACCATTTAGCACACTCCTTCCAAGTCCACTTTGCTACTTTACATCTCAAAAACAGGTGGGCAGAGTCTTCTTCTTCTTCCTCCTCACAAAGTCTACATTTCCCATCATCCATAACACTGTCAATTCCTCTTTTCAACAAGTTCTTATTGGTTGGAATTTTGTCAAGCACAACTCTCCAATTAAATGCTGCAATTTTGCTTGGAATATTGTTATTCCATATTCTTTTGAAAAATTTTTCATTTGGATTCTGCTGGGTATTTGACAACAGAGAATATGCTGAGGAAGATGAGTACTTGCCGTCCCTTTTGTGCACCCACTCCCATTTGTCTGTGATTCTTGGTTGTATTTTCTCCTCCTCAATCATTTTTGATAGCTCAAGAGCCGACTCTTCTTCCCATTCCATCAGTCTTCTTCTCCACTTTAGGTTCCATTCCCATTTTCCATTAAGCTCTTTCCCCATTTGGTAGCATTTCTTCTCCTTATCTGTTGACAACAAATATAATCTAGGGAACATATTAGCAAGACAGCGCCCTCCACACCACTCATCCCACCAGAAGCTCACCTCTTTACCTTCCCCCAACTTTAATCTAAACCCCTCCGCTAACCACCCAACATTTTCCCTATCAGCATTGTTAATCCTTTGGACGTTTCTCCACCATAAAGAACCCCCCACATTTCCATTTCTCACCCAGGTTTGCCAATGCCCCCCTCCCCCTCCATATTTTCCTCTAATGACCCTTTTCCACAACCCTTCTTCTTCTATTGCTAATCTACTCCACCATTTCCCCATTGGCGCTATATTAAACTTCTTCAAATCTTTCACACCTAGCCCCCCATGTTCCTTATCTTTTCAAATTCTATCCCACTTTACCCAATTGATTTTTCTCTCTACTCCCTCACCCCCCCATAAGAAATTCCTACGAATTTTATCAATTGAATTAAGCGTACCTTTTGGGATCAAGTAGACGGACATCAAGAACACAGGGAGGCTGGACAGCATTGAGTTAATAAGTGTAATTCGACCACCTTGAGAGAGATATCTTCCTTTCCAGCTCGACAGTTTCTTCATGACAGAGTCTAGCAATGGCTGCCACATTTTAAGCCTTCTATGGTCCCCCCCAATGGGAATCCCCAGGTATTTGATTGAAAATTCCCCTTCTTTACAGCCTAATCTATAAGCCATTTTCTTTCTCCAGTCATCCTCCACCCCGATGCCCATAAGTTGACATTTTCTGAAATTTATTTTCAACCCCACCACCATTTCAAATGTCCTCAAAATACACTTCACTATCCTAATATTTTGCTCTGAAGCCTCCCCAAAGAATATGGTGTCATTCGCAAATTGCAAATGGGTAACTGTTACTACATCATTTCCGACTTCTACACCCTTATACAGATTCTTCTCGACAGCTGCTGTCATTAGTCCATTTAGACCCTCTGCCACTATCAGGAATAAAAATGGGGATAAGGGGTCGCCTTGTCGAATGCCTTTTGTGACTGGAAATTGCTGAGTTGGGCTTCCATTGATTAGGATTGACACCATGCTCGATTGCAAGCACTCTTGGATCCACCTCCTCCAAGTTCCACTAAAAGCCATTCTGTCCAGCATATAGTCTATAAACTTCCAGCACACCTTGTCATATGCTTTCTCGAAATCCACTTTGAACACAAAGCTTTTCTTCCTCTTCTTTTTTGCTTCATCAATTACTTCGTTTGCAATGACTACACCATCCACCAATTGTCTTCCCTTGATAAATGACATCTGTTGTTCCCCAATAATCTTATGCATCACCTTGCAAAGGCGGCTCGCCAATAGTTTTGCAACCACCTTGTACATGACTCCAATAAGGGATATGGGTTTATATTCTTCTATTCTTTGGGGATTCTTGGTTTTTGGGATCATCACAATGAAGGAGGCATTAGACCCTCTTTTTAATTTGCTCTGCTCCTGGAATTCCTTTACGAATCCAATCACCTCCGATTTAATATCCTCCCACATAGACTTCATGAATCTAAAGTTGAAGCCATCCGGGCCTGGGGCTTTAGAAGAATCACACTCCCAAATGACTTTCCTAATTTCCTCTTCAGTGAAAGGTGCTATGAGGAACTCGTTATCAGTTTGAGATATCTGCTTGAAGCCCATTTCGTCAAGTTTAGGTCGTTGCCAGACTTCTTCTGTGAATAGTTTTTGGAAGTATTCAGCCACCCCTTCCTTAATTTCTGTCACTCTAGTGAGTTGCTTTCCTTCAACCGTAATGCTACAAATTTCATTTCTTCTTCTTCTTCCATTTACACTTCTATGGAAAAACTTGGTGTTTGCATCCCCTTCTTTGATCCACATTTTCCTTGATTTCTGTTGCCACATATTCTCCTTGATTTTTAAATTGTTCCATAGATCAATAAAGCACCCCCTCCTTCTTTCAACATCGGTGTGATTCAACAGACCATTCTCTCCTTTCTTATCTATCTCCTCAATCTCTTTTTTAGTCTCCATAATTCTCCTGTCTACATTTGTCATTGAGCTTCCATCCCACTTCTTGAGAGCATTCTTGGTGAATTTCAGCTTTTCCTTAAATCTGAGTCCATACCCGCCCTTCACTACACAGGATTTCCATGCATTTCTGATAATCTCTATGCACCTTGGTTGGTCCATCCAAGAATTGAAGAATTTGAACGGTTTTGGCCCCCAATCCACCTTTTCACTCTTCAGTAAAATAGGACAGTGATCAAATACTGTTCTTTTTAGACCCCACTGTTTAACATCCTTCCAATTCAGTATCCATTCATTTGAAAGCAAAAATCTGTCCAGCCTACTCATTTGCTGCCCATTTGAGTTATACCATGTGTACTTCCTTCCAACCAATGGTAAATCAATCAGTTCTGCAGTATGAATGAAACAATTGAATTCCCTCATTTCTCTAGATGTTTCTCTACACCCATGTCATTCCCCTGCTATTCTAATGGCGTTAAAATCCCCTCCTAAGCACCATCTTCCTCTCCTATTACAGATCAAGTACTGCAGCTCCTCCCAAAGACCTCTTTTGCCAACTACAGTACATGGGGCATATATATTTACAATATATGCAGGCGCCTCTTCCTCCCCCCAAACCCCATATACTCCAATAAAATTATTGCCTTCAAGAACCTCCCGTTTTTTAAACACCTTTGAGTTCCATACACATAACAATCCTCCTGACATACCATTTGAAGGTTTGTAAATCCAATCAAAATCCACTGACCCCCAAATTCTACTGCACATTAGTCTATCAATCAACTCTAATTTAGTCTCCTGCACTAGTAAAACTCCACCTTTTCTTTACTAACCAACTCCCTAATTTGTCTTCTCTTTTCAGCCCCCCCAGTCCTCTTACATTAAATGACAGCAAATTCATTATTAATTGCACATACCTCCTCCCTCGCCTCGGTTCCGTTCTTCTCTGGATTAACTTTTGCCCGGTTGTCTCTGCACTCTAATTCATCAATTCTGTGGATTATTTCTTCCTCATTTTCGGCTACTGCTCCCAGCTGCTTTGCTATTTCCCATATTTCCTTGGCTAGCTCTTTCTTCATCTGCTTCTTGATGGATTTGTTGCAGTTTTGTATACAGCTATCTCCAATTGATTCACCAGCTACTTCACCCGTTGGGCTTGCCACAAAACCCGGTTATGCTCTGTTCTCTGCTATGCCTCAACTTCTTCCTCTTCGGCCTCTTCTTCCTTGCGAAATTTGCTGTGAGAAGCCCACTTTCGAGTAAACCGAGCTGCATGTTCTGATTCGCCTCTTGCTCTTCTTCGGGTTCCTTTCTGCACTTCCGTGAATCCGATATGCTAAACTAGCTTCTTCCCTCTCATCCCCTTTCTCCGATGGTTCATGGCACTCATTATTGGTGTTCATTGACACCACTCCCCTTTGACTATCTTTATCTCTTTTTTCTGAATTGCTTTGGGCCTTCATTAACGAGTTACTTTGGGCCTGCTCCCCATTTGTTGACTCCTCCCCTGTTGGTATTCTTTTCATCTTATTGGGCTCCTCTTCAGACCTCCCTTTGTTATTTTCATTTGAGCCCAAGTGACACTCCTCCACATTCGTGTATCCAGCTATTGTTGCAAATGGCCCTCTCTTTCCCCCCGAAAGCTCCCTCCCTGATTTGAATTTTTCTTCCTTTTCATTTTGAATTTTTTGTAGGGTGTCAGGAACCTCATTAATTGTCATCTCACTATCCCTATGACCTGGTGCTATAGCTTTACCGTTGCTCTCCTCCCAGAAGCTTGCCACGTCATCGTCATCTTCCTCGGCTTCCTCGGTTCTTCCATTGAGACCCTATGCATCTTCTGCACCGTTACACCCCACATCCCCTTCCTCACTTTCCGTCATCCAGGATTCTTGTTCCTCAGAGTCACTCTGAAAGGTGGGCAAGAAATCCTGCTTCAAGGAGAAGAAGCCATTGGTAAACTCCTCCTTAGTGAACTTGATGTCATAGATGGATCCATTAATCCTTATAGATCTCTTGACCGAAATTGATCCCATGATCGAAGTGGAAATTAAGAATCGAGCAATGTCAAATCTCCTCTTATGGTTGGTGCTATCATCTAAACAGATAAACTTCCCCCATGCACAGCTCATATTAGCAAAGAATTCAGATTTCCATACATTAAGAGGAACTCCTTGGCACTTGATCCACACAAATCTTTCCTCTGCAACCTTCTCTGGTATCCATGGGCTCACTTCTTCAAACCACTGTTCTAACCAGTCTGAAGCCATCTCTACAAGGTCTTTCAATTCCTCTTAATCATCACAGTCTAGCAGCACCAACTTCCCCCCCATTGCTCGAATTCTACATGAGAAATAGCCTTCCATATAGAACTTCTCCTGTAGATTTCTAACCATTTCTACGGAGTGAACCTTCCCCACATAGCATCCTTTTAGCCAAGCATATTCTTTTTCCTTTACATTGTAATCCATGCCGACCCATTGATCCCCCTATCCTTTTTCCTTCCAGGTTAGAGTTTTTTCTCGTACTCGAAGGTCCATTCCATTGTTGATTCTTCTGTCATCCCTCTCGTGGCTCCTACTCTCGCTGCTATTCTGTTTTAACCCTGCATCCCCTCCTACTTCTTTTCCATCTTGTCCCTTCACCACATCCGCATACGACCTGATTTGGATCTTTGGCTCCATTTTTTGAACCTTCCTATGCTCCACTCCTCTGTTCAGTTCTTCATTTCTAAACCGTGGGATATTCACCCATAGCTTGAATTCCCCAACCCATATCTGGTCAAGTCTCCTTTCCAGCTCCTTTGTGTTCTTTACATCCAGAAATCTCACAAATCCGAATCTATATCCCTTCTTGCTTCTTCTACTTGGGCTGTAAATGTCGAATACTCTTCCAAATTTGCTGAAAGTCATCCACATCTCTGCATAACTCCAATCTTTTGGGAAATTGGTGAAATAGTATGGCGTTGCTTGTTTATACAGTCCTCTATTATACATTTCCCTGATACTTGACTTCCACCCTTGCGATCCTCTCTGTTCCCCTGTTCGATGACTCCTCTGTTTGCTTCTCCCTCTTGGTCTCTCATGTTCGTAACTCAGTGTTGCCCTTACCATCCATGTTCGACATGCGTCTGCTCTCCCTCTCGCTCTACCTCTCATCTCTATGTTTTGCACACATAACACGAATTCAAATGTTTTGTTGCATTCATTTCCCAGCTCTTAATTAGATTACTTTAATTTCATAAACAAATTGAATGTATGTAATCTTGCTTTTTCTTTTCTTCTTCTTCTTC